AAAACTTTATGTCCTGCATTTAGATACAGCTAAGTTCCTGTTTTCTCATATTTCATTCTTCTCCCTTGACAAGAAGGCATCAACAGCTCTCCCAGAGTAACCTTGGAAGAATGCAGAAGACATAAACATCAGCTGTAGATCAATTGTTAAAATGATGCCCAGACTTAAGTTGAAGTCATGCGCATCTGGAGATGAGGGAAAAAAGCAAGGAATAATGTCTTACTTCAATCTCTTGAGCTTTTGTTTCCATTTGAACTTCAGTTACAACTAGACAAACTATTCAGTGAGAAACCACCTCTATCCAATATCTTCACCCAAAATATAATTTACCCAGGTGACATATAAAAGCCAGATCAGAGAAGCCAGGGAAAAGTGATATCTGCAGCTCTGTATTTTTAAGGAAAAAAGAGAAAGAAGATAAAAATACTCTAGCAAATATACAGAACCTCTGGGATAAAGGAAATGCAGCATTCCATTTATGTGCAAAGGTAATTAATGCCTAGGGCTCTCCACCCTAAAGCACATAATTCTTTTTACCTAAATACTAACTATAGAGATCATTCTTGGGCACAATAATTATGATGAATGTTTCTTCATATTGTCAAAAATGTTTTTCTTCTTTCTGCTAAATTCTATCAGCTAATTTATATTATGAAAGTAGAATTCTACTTTTGTGTTTATTCCATGTATCACAGTGGTTCTCAACCAGGGACAGTTGTGTCCCCTAAGAGACACTGGCAATGTCTACAGATGTTTTGGTTGTCATAACTTGAGGAAGGGGAACTGCTGCTGGCATCTAGTGGGTGGAAGCCAAGGGTGCTGCTAGAAGAACAAGGCTCAGGGAAATCTCTTCCTCCACCCCCAGCCTATTGTTCCTATTCATCTATCTGTCTTTTGAAAGCACTGGCAGTATGCCTGGAGACCCAGATTAACCAGAGGCTTTACAGTGGTCTTGGAGGTGTGATGCCTAAATCCCCTTCAGAAAGAAATTGTTCCAGTAACTAGGAAAACATCAGCTGCTTTGAGGTTTACCTCAGCTGCCAAGACTCCCTCCAGGAGTGGTCTTTACCCAATGCTGGCTATAGCGAGGATAGAAAGCCCTGGCCATTTCAGCAGACAGAGGGACTACTCTGATGGGATAGAACACCCCCATCCAAGCTCCCAGGGGATGTCTGGAAGCCTTACAATGCATCTTCTCCCTCTGCCCAAGGCTCCTTCCTTGGCAGATGGGGACCCATATCTACAGATGGGAAGACCCTAAAAACAAAAATTTGATGGAGCCAAATAGACTCTGCTAATACTTCATGTAGGAAAAACCAGAAGGCGTTTCTGAAGCCCTCAGAATCCTTGGGGAGAGCACTGAGAGGGACTGCATGCATCTGGGGCACTGAAAATAACTTATTCCAAAAAATTTTAACTATAGAATTTGTGTTGCACTAACATTGGCTTAAAACCTTATACAAGTTTCAGGGGTACAATCTTGTAAATTAGCATCTGAATCTATGACAGTCAACTCTCCACCAAAAGTCTAGTTTCCAACCATCACCATACAATTAACTAACCCTTTTTATCTCATTTACTCAAAAAGTTGCTGGACACTGACAAAGATTTCCTCTGAAATACATTATGAGGTTTTAAAATACCCTATCCCCCACAAAAGTGCATGATTGTGTCAGTGAGAAAGGGAAGATGGACTTGAATAGCATGAAGGAGCTGAGAATACAAGCCTCCAAAGCTGCTTGGAGCTCAGTTCACCATCTAGACTGAGTCACCTCTACCTGCAGATTCTCATCCCAAGAGGAGACTGCAAGCAGAAGGCCCTGCTTTGATTGTTTGTACACTCAGAATCTCTGGGGGTGAGGGGCAGAGGGACACTCCATTTCACTAGGCTCACAGCCTGGAGACATGACCCTCAGTGTTCCAAGAGAGGTAAACCATGAACCCATTGCCTGCCAATCATGGCTGTGCTCAGCTGTGAGTCATCTCAACATGCTGAACCATAAAACATCGAACTTTGTCAGTGATTTTCACCTGTGAGAAATAAAAAAATTTGAAAACATGTGCTATCAGAAGTCGGTGGGTCACAGAAAGCATTTACGTTTTTTGAAACTGAATAGAGACTTCACAAACAATGGTGTGCAAAGCAGTGTTTTGCAAGGTCATTGTAACTTATATTCTTATGGAAACTCATTTTTCAAGTCCTGTTTTTTTTATAATTATGTTTTTAAGATTTATTTATCATGCATACAAGAACCAAGGTTCAGGCCAGATGTGCGGGAGGGTGAGAGGATTCACCAGAGACAGAGCGGGGCAGACTGACGAAATACACTGCTGAGGGGAGCAGCGGGCAGGACAGAAGTCTGCTGCGCCATGTGGGATTCTCGCTGGCCAGCTGGGATTGAACACACACTACAAAGGCTGCAGAGAGCTTCATAGTGCAGCGCTCAACTGCCTGTGCTCCTAGGGGAGGCCACACAAGTCCTGTATTTTTTATATCATTTGGCTAAGCAGATATGCACTTCTTTTTGATAGACTACTCCTGCTTTCACAATGCAAAGCTCTTCTGGAAATTGTAGATATTTAATGTCAGTGGCATATTCAATAAATGAGCAGGTAAAGATGAGAAACATGAACCAAGCAGCGTCAAACATGCATAACAGAAAAAAGTAGGGGCCTTCTAGAGTAGTGTTCCTTAAACCAGCTCCAAAAAAATCAATCTAGAATCCAAACATCCTAAGCATTTTATAGTTAGCACAGTCAGAGCCTGGCAAGGTCCAACTGGGATGAATTTTTTTGCAATATACTGAATTTAGAGGGTCAAGGATTACAAAGGCAGCATTGGAAAGACCTGTGCTTCCCCAGCCCAGCCGGGGCAAAGAATGTGATAGTCCAGAGGGGAGAGAAGAGATGCTGAAGAAGGTAGATTCGCACCGGAGCATCTAGATCCCAGTAGTAAAGGGGCAAACGGGAACAAAGGAGGAAAGAAAGACACCCTCTGCTAGGGTGGAGGAGCCAGGCAGCCATCCTCGTAGGCTCCTGTAGGTAGAGGAAGGTCTCCACAAAGGGATGAGGATGCTTAGCATGAGAGTCTCTGAAAGAGAGAGTCAGTCAGACAATGCCTATTGGAGAGTCTGAAGTACGCTGCTGTCACATGAACTCAGGTCTCTATGTTTTAGAAATAGAGATACATAGATGGAGACACACACGTAGACGTCTTTATAGATGGTCACTACCTGAAATCTTGCTAAGTTTCCCATGGCTTCTAAGCAGGCTTGGTATTCCTTGGGTAAATGACAAAACAAGCAGCAACTGGCCTCTCATTATGTATTTTTACTTTTCTATATTCTGTTCTCGGTGGTAAAAGTAGAAAAGGATTTAGGAGATGCCATGTTAACATTTGCATTAATTCACACTTTCTTTGGAAGTTTAATCCTATCAGTCAGGAAATGCAAAATTTAAGGTTCTTCCATTTATGTAAATTTGCATGCCTTTAATTGGCTGCATTTTTAATTACTAAGCAGCGATTATTATTTCATTGTTCCATTTTTGCAAAATAACCAGCTTGGTTTCCCTTGTAGCACCTAATTGTCATGTAGTTCCAGGATCTTGAACTCAGACTGGCTGTGTTGCCATTGTTCGATGCAGAATACTGTCTAAGGGAGTGTATGCATTTTGCACATCCAAAATGACAAGCATGCACAATGATTTCATGACTTCAATGCTAAATGAAATTATAGAGCAATTGGTAAGCCAGAAATCTAAAGCTTTTATAAATGTGTGAATGTAGCCTCCAATTTATCCATATCCCTCACTTCTCTATTATCCACTATATTTCTTTTCTTTGGGGTTCTTAGTGATCATTATCACCTCTACCAGAGAATAAGCATGTAAAAAAGAAATGGCATGAAATTCAAATTAGTGTGTTGCTTTTTAGTAAACCCTTTGAAAGGTGTGTTGGAGAAAAAGTTAAAACTAATAGGTAAAATGAGGCTTCAGGAATATGTTAGGTTTCATTTATTTATGTTCATGCTTTTCCTCACTTCCCAACCCATTAGCACAGATAATTGAAAGTTTGCTTCATTTATCATACCACATTGAGCAATGCTGTCATTTTCAGTTAAGACCACAAAATGAAAGCAAGATTTTAAATTCTTGCAAGAGGGGCTATTACAGAAGTAAACTAAATTACTTCAAGGAAGACAAAAGGACTAGTTCCCAAAGAAGTTAGGGGATCTTCCCCTTTGAAGATTTTTTAAGAGCCAGGTAAACAGCTCCTTTACTGAGGACCTGCTTAGAGACAGGTAAATCAACCTGTCAGTTTTTAACATCTTAAGCTATATAGCTTTATGTTCACTTCTATTTTAAATGACCAGAATATGGATTATTTGAAAAACAAAGGAAAATTTGGCATGGCTTAATTAATGACAAAGAATCCCAACTGTGATTACAAGATTTGTTTGCATTGCCATTAAAATCTAATGTGCTATGTCTTTAATCTTCACATCCCAGAATAGTGGTTGAGCTCCTTCCCATAAACATACACAAATTACAACGACTCCCAGGTATATTTATTCTGGTTTGTAAATAAGTCACATCCTGTGTTGGAGGCTTCCAGAGCACCTCACCTGATCTTGACACCCTTGGGTTTCTTTACTAGAACCTGGACACTGCAGAAATTATCTTGTCCCAAGGGCTCACTCTTTGCATAGCTACTAAGGAAGAGTTTTGTTGGTTAACGGAGAGGTTAGTGGTTCTATGCGATCTAAAGAAAGACAGCCCTCCCCAAGAACACACTAAATTAAAAAAGAACTGTTAGACCCTGAGTATAAAAGGGTTTTGCAGGTCTTCAGGATTTGGTTCCTTGCACCATACCTACTATCTTCCTAGACAGAGAATTACTGTTCTTACTCATGAAGACTATACTTCAAATCACATTACATAAGAAAACTTACTTCTGCATGTTGGGACAGGAATTGTTAGGCTCAGTGCTCACCTGCTTCCCTCCAGTTCCCACAAGCTATTCAGCCTCATGGTAAGCCATTAGTGAAAGTATCCATCTTGTGCGTTTCCTGAGGGAAATTATGGTGGCTCAACTCAATATTCTTAACTGAGCAAATAGTCGCTGTATACCTATTGTTACTACCTACTACATGTGAACATGACAAGGTACCTGTAGTGCTATTCTAGGGAAATACAAAATGTTATGGGAACATATAGGAGATCCCAACCTGTAATGAGCTTACCATCTTGTCCTCAACAACTCTTTCAAGGGTGTAACACAACAAATCTGTGAATTATCATGATGATAGGCCCTGTGAACTGAGACAGGTTCCTTCAAGACTATCTTCAAAAACTTGAACTTTAATAAATATGGGTTCCCATTTACCCCGAAGAATAGGACAAGGGATATTCCTTCTTTGGTATTATGCATTAAATCCTTAAGACAGAAATGAAATATAATGCACAGTTTAGGGCAACCACATAATTTTTTCCCCAGAAACCCATACCCCTTCTCACACCTAAAATAAAATTCATGGAACTAACTCTTTAATTAGAAAGAATAACTTGTTTCCTTGATTAATTGCACAGTGCAGACAAAAAGACTGTGTAGGAGGTAATTTATGGTGGCAATTTGAGGTGATTTTGTCATAAACTTTCCATGGTTTCATATTGTAGATTTTGGAAAACATAGTACTTTGTCAAAAAGGGAGGGGAATGGAGGAAGTAAAATAAATATTTAAGCCCAGAGAGATCATTCCAACAAATGTTCATTCTTAGATCATCTGTTCTTCATTTCATGATATACGTTATAAACAACAGCCTCACTCCAACTTTCAGTTCGCAGCATACTTTAAAATTCAGCAAATATGTTCGTGCACATATATAATGCATTGTTGTAGTTCACATTCACAGATAACAGCCCTAATGGAGTTGTTTGCCACATATGCGATTAAGGTTAAAAATCTCAGAGAGAGACGCAGAGTCTCCCCCCATGGGCTTGTGCACAAGAGGACAGTCGTCCTATTTTTGTAGCTCTAGAGACCATTTTAGAACAAATCATTCCTTATGACTCTGTCTCTTTGCTCAATGGGTTACTGATGTCTTTCCTCTAAAAGAACTACGTGGATCTACTCACTGCCAAGTGGGTCTTTTGGCTGCTGCTGTATTCAGAATATCTTAACTACATAGCATGGGTTTACATTGTATTTCAGGATGTCAAGTTAATATTTCTTCTCCTGGAACCGCTAGTCATCTTCTGCTTCCAATTTCCAAACAGCTGCTAAGGTTTTTCTGTCTCTCAATAGGGGGGCAAAATCAGGCAGGGTCAGCAAAGAGTGGTCCACTGTTAAAAGGGGGTTTTTGTTTTTCACTTCCCCAAATTTAGCTAATAATAATAGCCTGCTGTTAACTAGAAGCCATCAACAATTGATTAACACATATTTTGAATGTTATATGTATTATATACTGTATTCTTGCAATAAAGTAAGCTAGAGAAATGAAAGTGGGACCAAAAATGAATTTACATTTATATTTACTATACTGTATCGATACTATAAGTTTAACCCATTTGTTTAAAAGAAAATTTGCACCTAAGTGGACTCATGCAGTTCAAATCCCTACTGTTCAGGAGGCAACTATATTATTGTTCTTGTAACAGTTCCTGTGTGTGAATAGTTAGTATCCCTGATACAATGATAGGACAAGTGTATTCTAAAAGCTAGCTCTTTGTGATAATATTGTAGTTATAATTTTTTGTCAGAGTCCAGAATATAAGCTATGTAACTGAGTAAGTATAAGGCTGATATTCTTTAAAATATGGAAATCAAAGTATTTAGTGACATCTATCACTTTATGAAATGATGAAGTACTTCTATATAAATTTTCCCATAGATTCACATGGTCAATTGTAACAGAGCTTTTTACAAAGCACTCAATTTTTTTTTATAGCTTGCACATTAGAATTAGCTACCGTTGCAAGTTGTAGAAACCATTTCATTGAAGACATATGTAATTATGTGTCCACATGGACATTCAACTTGAGATTCCTTCCAAATTTGTAATTTTCCTAGATAACGAAGAAACTAGCATGGCCATTCTTCTGACAATTTTCATCATGATTATAGTGACCTTAATTAGCAATATTACTAAATAAGACAGCTACTTTCTGCTTCAGATAAATCACTCCCTTCATTCTTTACTAACTGCCTACTGTGTGCTATCTTGAGTGATGGGGTTAGTCTTCTTAGCTCTCAGGTTTGATGGGGAGACAAGCAGATAACCAAAATATCACAGAGCAGAATGTTAAAAGATAGTGGCAGGGACATTCCTAGGTGCTATGTAAATACTGACCTTGATGGGTAAGTGTGGAAATTAATCAAGCAGCCTTCTTGGGGGATAGTATCCAAACTGAGACCTGCAGGATAAGAACTATACAGGATAAGGTTTATGCACAATAATCATCTTCAAACACAATGAATCAGACATTACCTACTGCCCTGCAGATTTCTCTTTTGCCCTCAGATGCCCAGTGTCCTCGCTCTACCTCTAAATGTTTGTGTCTAGAGAAGAGACCAGTTGCACCGATAAATCAAATCCTCTTATTTCTCATAAAACTCCTATAATGCTCTCAAAATAGCAAATATCTAAAATGTAGTTCAAAGATCCATTTCTTAAGAGGAACACCAAATCCCAAGGGGAAATAAAGTTTGAAGTCATTAGTAAAAACGGAATAACATTACCTCCATATTGAAAATTCCTATCTTTAAAGCAACAAAGTATGACTTTCACATCTATGGAAAAAAGCAAAAAATTAAAAGAGATAATATTTGAAAATTCAGGGGTGTACATTTCTGGTAGTTGTATGCATTGTGTCTATTGGGGATAAAAATCTGGCAAAAAGTTCCACAAATAACAACCTTTGACCCAATAACCACATTCCCAGGAATTTAAACTAATGAAATGATTCCTTAAAAACAAAAAGAAGACTATTATACAAATGAAAATGGTTATGGTGAGAATATGAACATCTACCTTATTTCAAAAATATAAATAATGCAATATACAGAAAATGAGTAAATTATAAGATATTATTTAGAAGAAATAGGAATCATTTAAATATAGGAATGAGAAAATAACACAGGTACCAAAAATTTTCTATCAATAAAATTAAAGAAAAAAGACATGCAGCTATATAACCTAATAATGACAGCAATGGACTTACTAAATATATAAGAATACTTATTATATATCTAGTGAAATAATTATGCTTAATTTCTATTAAAAATTCCAGGTTTAAATATCTTTTTGCACCTATATATACATAATTTGACAGTGCCTTATATTTTACATAGATCATTTACGAAGTAAATTATTTCGTACACTCCTGGGTTTTTCTATTTTACTTTCATTATTACATTTCCTACCATATTTTCCATATTTAAAAATCCAGTATATTATTCTTTATTTTTCTCATATTCTTATAATACAGATACATATCAATTATGCATAGACTCAAAATTCTATACAAATATACATTTATAGAATATTTCTGATTTTAAACAAATATATAAAAGGATAGCCTTATCTCAGATCTCTCCAAGTCAACTTACATAGCTTTAATTCACCCTATTTAATTGTTTATTGTCATGATTTTATTATGGCTTAGTATATATTTATCAAAATTTTTGAAATCAGTAATAGTAACTTTGTTTCTATTTCCATCCTCTTCAAACAACACTGAACAACCTATATATATATATATATATATATATATTTATATATATACATAATACATATATATAATTATCACAGCTTTTATTTGTACAATAGATTCTCAGATGTGATCTTTGGTCAAAAGTACAAGTTTTTTTAATTCTAAGAGATTTTGACAGGTTGCATTTCAAGATAGTGTGATAATTCATTTTTCTAACAGCAATGTGTCACCTGCTTTTTGATTTTTTGACAGTTTGCTGTGTATAAAGTGATGTTTTATTGTTACTTTAGCATACATTTCCTTATTTGTAAAGCTGAGGATTTTTTCTTTGGTGGCTATTCGATTCGTTTTTCTTGAGAACTTCCTGTTTACTTCTTTTTAAACAGAAATTGATGTACAATATACATGAAGTACATAAATCTTGTGTGTAAGCTGGATGAATTTTTGCATAACATATACCTCCACAATCAAAACGTTTAACTCTTATACCTCCAAGATCAAGATGCAAATACTCTCATCCAGAAACTGCCTTATGCTTCTTTCCAAACAACACTCTACACCCCATCACCCCCACCCCCCAGCAAAAGGAAAGGCTGGTCTGATTTCCAATAGCTCAGATCAACTTTGGTTGTGCTTGACTTTCATATAAATAGTTCATATAAAAGGCTTATTATTGTCTACTTTTTCACTCAATGTTAGGTGTATGAAATTCAATTACAGACAGTGGAAGCACTTCAATTGTTTTTTTTGCTTTCTATACATGAATGTTCTACAATTTATTTTAAAGTTGGATATGTTAACTTTGAAGCTATTATGAATAAAGTTGCTAAACTTATTGTTTTATGTATCTATTGTACCGTTGGTTGATACACACAATCACTTCTCTTGGCTTTTTTTTTAAGATTTATTTATTTATGCATAAAAGTGCTGGGGTACAAGTTAGAGGATCCACCAAAGACAGAATGGGGAACAGAACAGGCAGACTGACGAAATACACTGCTGAGTGGAGCAGTGGGCAAGACAGGAGAGGTCTACTGTGCCATGTGGGTTGCTCCCTGGCTGGCCGGGGATTAAACTCCTGCTGCAGAGGCTGCAGATTGCTTCACAGTGCAGTGCTTAACCCCTTGAGCCACCAAGGAGGCCCTCCTGTGGACTTTTTATCAGTGGCAAGAACTACTCGATCCTAGGGTGTTTATGAGATTTTGCAAAATTGCTTTCCAAAGAGGCTGAACTAACTTACACTCCTATGAAGAATACATGTGAATTCCATTTGTCCCAAATCCTACCGCATATATGGTTTGACTGGCAGTCTTTTTAATTTGACCATTCTGGCATGTGTGAAATTAGATCTCATTTGATTTTAGTTTGCATTTCCTTGATGAGTAATGATGTCGAGTCTATTTTTTATGTCCGTGTGGGTTTTTATTAAGGGTTCATTTAAATCGTTTGTCCATTTTATAATAAGAATGTCTTTTAATTAATGATTTGTGAGGCTCTTTCTATATTCTGGATTCAAATTTTTGTTGAATGTACGTATTATAAATATCTTTTTCTGTCATGTGGCTTCCCTCTCACTCCCTTATACCCAAATGGTATCTTTTGAAAAACAGACATTCCTAAATTTTTATTGAATCTCAATTTATCAACCTTGAATTTTAATAATTAGTTCCCTTGTATCCTATTTAAGAAAACTACATGCTCCAAAATAATGAAGATATTCTGTTGCTTTCTTCTAGAAGCTTTACTTTATTGCCACTCACATTTAATTTTTTTATCCACCTTAAAAGATCAAAGTATATTTCCCCCAAGATAACCAGTTATTCTATCATTTATTGCAAAGACTATCCATTTCCTCCTGAAATTCAGTGGCACCCTTAGAGTAAATCAGGTAACCATGTAATGGCCAGTATTCTCCATTCTTTTCAGTTGGACCAATTTCTCTCTTTGTGTAAATACCACACTGTCCTAATTACTGAGGCTTTTTATTAAGTTTGGTTTCTGCTATGTGGAAGTTGTAAAACTTAGATTTCTTTCTTCAAAATTGCCCTCACTAGAAGATGAGTTTGCTTCGTTTAAGTCAGCAATTTTCTCATTCAGTCCCTAAATTTCTATTCATCCTTTGTTGTCATTGGTAGTTTATAAATGTCTGTCTAAATAAATAGAGGAAAGATAACTAGAAGTAAAGAATAAAAGTTAATTTAAGATATTAAAAATTGCCTTGATTATTCTAGATAATGTGGGAATTTCTCTCTCTCTCTCTCTCTCTCTCTCTCTCTCTCTCTCTCTCTCTCTCTCTCTGCATCTTTGATGAGGAAAATGATGACTCTGTAGACCAATCTGGGAACAAATGCTATCTTGAAGACATTGTGTCAGTGCCACTGCATGGAAAAGATACATCATTCCATTTATTTAGATCTTCCTTGATTTCTCTTAATAATATTTTGTAGTTTGCAATGTAGACATAATTGATATCATGAGCTTATTCCTAAACATTTTTTATGATTTTGGTGCTATTATATCATTTGTTAACAGAACTACATTAGAAATTCAAATAATTTTATACTGCCTTTGTTTCCAAGTAGCTTGCAAAATTTGCACATTAAATTGGACCATTTATAGATTATTTTGCATCATATATGTGGTCATATCAATTGAAAAGAAAGTAATATTACTTTTTTTCTTTTTGATATTTACATTTCAATTTCTCTGTCTTTCTTTTTTGGCCTGGAAATAATTGATCTCCAGAATAATGTTGACTAGAACAGAACATTAGGCAAGGTAGTGGACATCTTACCTCCTTACCGAATTCAGGACAGCGGGAAGCACTTAATATTTATCACAATTTTGATATTTGTGAATCAAATATCCTTGTGTATTTTTCATGTATGTTCTTTGTCAAGTTAAGTGTGCTCCTTAACACTTTTTCTCCTGAGGGTTCTTATGAATATGAGTTAATTTCATCAGTTGAATTTTCTGTTATTTACTGAAATGATCATGTGTTTTTTTCCTCATTGATTCTCTTCTGTATTCTACTCTAGAAAACTACATGCCCCAAAATCATAATGAAGATATTCTGTTGCTTTAGTAAAGTGATGAATGCATTTGGGGTTTTTTTTACTGGTTGATTTTTTTTTTTAATATAAAATGTGCTTGATAACAAAGATTTCATGCTTTATTTATTTATTTATGTATCCGATATATTTTATTTTTATATTCCCCATACAATTGCAACCCCCTTATTTTGACCCCAATCCCTCCCCCCACCCTCCTTAGAGTGTCTCTGGTAAAGATTTCACACTTAATGCACTGTTTCTATGTCTATGCTTGGGTAGATTATATTTGTATCTAGAACTTTGCTCAAATCTTTCATTTTTTTCACCTTCTGAAGATGTTAAGCATGTGGAGTTCAGATGTGAATTTACCACTGACATACAATAATCTTCAGACATTGTGATGGGAAAAAAATATCATTTCCATCTTTCCATTTCATAAAGTTTGGACATTTTGAAGCTCTTCTGCACAATGAAATGAGTAAGATACTATGAGTTTAGAGATTGCTAAGTGATTTCACATCCAATGGAAACCATCATGACTGCTTTATTCAGACTCTGATATTCCTTTGCTACATTTTTACAAATCTCTGTGTTAAAATATAATGAAAATCTTTCAGCAAAGCACTCTGAAGCTTCTCCATTCCTAATTTCATAACAATAAC